TGTCAAATGGGGATAATATCTTTCTCATAGGGTTGTTGTAAAAGAAGATAACATGTAAAGTAATGCTTGACACAGAACAGGCATTCAAAAAATGTCAGCTTTTATTACTTAACCTCCCCTTACAGATTTTAGCAAACTTTTTATTTTGCAATAATTTTAAATTTAAAGAAGTTACAGAGATAATAGAGTTCCCATATACCCTTCACTCAAGCTTTCCCTAATATTAGCATTTATATAACCATGGTACTCTTGTCAAAACTAAGAAATTAACATTAAAAAAAACCTGTTGCCGTGGAGTCAATTCTGACTCATAGTGACCCTATAGGACAGAGTATAACTGTCCCATAGGGTTTCCAAGGAACAGCTGGTGGATTTGAACTGCTGACCTTTTGGTTAGCAGCCAAATGCTTAACCTCTGCACCACCAGGGCTCCGAAATTAACATTAGTACGATATTATTAACTCCAGACTTTATTCTGATTTTACCGGTTTTTCCACTAATATCCTTTTTCTATTCCAGGATCTAATCCAGGATATCACATTGCACTTAGACAGATTTTATTTTTATTTATTTTTTTATTGTGCTTTAGATGAAGGTTTACAGAGCAAATTAGTTTCTCATTAAACAATTAATACATATACTGCTTTGTGACATTGGTTGTCCACCCCATGATGTGTCAACACTCTCCCCTTCTTGACCTTGGGTTCCCCATTACCAGCTTTCCTGTCCCCTCCTGCCTTCTCATCCCTGCCCTGGGCTTAGTCTTGCTTTGTTTTATGGGGCGGTCTAATCTTTGGCTGAAGGGTGAACCCCAGGAGTGACTTCACTACTGAGTTAAGAGGGTGTCTGGAGGCCATACTCTCAGGGTAGACAGATTTTACTTTTAAATGCTTACTTAATTCTTAGTCCTTCTTGTTGAACTCTCAGAACTTGAATTCAACTACTTACCACTTTGTTTGTGGTTTCCAACTGAAAAACAGTGCGTGCTTGTATGAACATGATACACAGTAATATACCAAAGTAATCTTAAGAATACCACAGAGACAAAAGATACTTAGGTATTTTGTTATAGTATGTTTTCATTAAATAAAAGAAAAAATAACTTAAAAATGTATTATTCTTTAAATAAATGACACAGGGAAATAAAATAGGAGCTAACACTTACTGGCGCAGGACTGGGCAGTATTACATTCTGTTGTACATAGGCTTCTATGAGTCGGAATTGACTCAACGGCACCTAACAACAACATTTATTGGAGTACTCACTCATCCCTACTGTGTGCCAAGCACTAAGCTTTTCATCCTAAAAGTCAGAATCAACTAGGCGGCAGTGGGTTGATAGATGATAAAAATTGAGCAGTAAAGAAGTAGCTTGCCCAACATCACACAATTCCACAGTGGTGGAGCAGGGATCTAAATGCATTATAAAAGGCATGATTAAATCAAGGCATGGTATGCATCATCTATTGAAATTACTTTAGTTGCACTGATGGCATATCTCACTTTGCCATTAATAATAACTGAACCACATCTAGTATGAATTGTCAATTTTTGGAGGCTGATCTAATGAACAGAAGATCTCATACATGTCTTTTTTCATGAAAAAAAAAATCTAATTCTGAAGCAACAGAACTATCTAAATAAGAATTCTGAGCTTTTCCTCCATGGCTCTTTCTTGGTCCTTTGATGTTATTTAAACTGTAGGCCCCTCTCTTAACACTTTTCTGTAAAGGTTAGACAATATATATTTTAGGCTTTGTGGAACATATGGTCCCTATTGCAAATATTTAACTCTACTGCTGTAGCACAAAAACAGTCATAGACAATAGAGTCATATGCCACATAACGTCCATTTGGGCAACCTCCAACTGCATATATGTTCATTGTCCCATAAGGGTTCTTTTTTTCTTTTAAAGGGAAAGCAGCTCTCCTTTTATTATTTCCCCCTAATGGTTTTAAAGGCCCCAAACTCCTAGAGTGAACGAGCAGAGGGCTCCAGGGGGTATCCCAATCCCCACAGCGCCTCCTCCTCCTTCACCTCCTTTCCTTTCTCCTTGCTTCATTCATCCACCCAGCAGCCACGCAGCCTTTCACTCCTGGTGAAGATGCTGGCAGGGACGCCGGCAGGGCCTGGAGCATTCGTGGGCTCCCAGCTCCAGGTCAGCTGGAAACAATCAGGAAGTGGCTGCACCAACAGAGTGGCAGCAGCCAGGGCCGCCGCCACCACCAGCCTTGCTCTTAGCACCCACACACCCCTCCCCACACCCTTGACCACCTCTATCAGTCTTCGGACAACGCAGGCCACGCCCCGCCCAGCATACCAGGCAAGGCTGGCCTCCTGTATCCAGTGGATACAGCACTCAGGCTTTGTGTGGTGGGCTCCCATAAGAGTTTTAATATAACAGGCTTTACGGGGATTTAACTATGGATTGTACGGGGACTGTCTGTATATAATACGGTGTCTGCAAAACATACAAATGACATAACATCATTTTTCACTGAACGTATCGTGAATGTTAAGTGACGCATATCTGTGTATCAATAAACGAGCGTGGCCATGTTCCAATAAAACTTTATTTATAAAAACAAGGTGGTGGCCTTGATTTGGCCTGCAGGCTCTAGTTTGCTGACCCATCTGAGGGCGTTCCATCATATGGAATTAAGTTTGGCATATTAACTACCAGGACTTAATAAAGAGGACGTATCTTGAAGTTTATCTACAATAACAAAATATTCCACAGAATATTGTTGGAAAATTCAGAAAATTCTTTCTAGGGTTGAAAAGTAGGTGGTATAGTAAAGTAAGTATGGGCAAAGGATATGAAAACAATTCAAGAAAGAAGAAATATAAAACTCTAATGAAGTTTTTTTGTTTTTTAATAATACTCAGTGATGTCTACACTGTGAGAAAACAGGCAATGTCAAATATTACTGGTGTGGGTTAAGTATAGCCTACCTGGAAAGCAATTCAGCAAAATGTTTAAAAAAGCATTAAGAAGAATGGTACTTAATACAAATGGCTCTTAAACCTGTGAAAAGATGTTCATCATAACTCATAATGAAAGAAATAAAAATTAAAACTATGCTGATATACCATTCTCACCTATTAGACTGGCAAAAATTCCAAAAGTCTGGGAGTTCAAAATGATACTACACTATGGAGGGCTACTTAGCCATAGCTATCAAAATTAAAATGCATTTACTCCTTGACCCAGAAATCCAAAGTCTAAAAATTTATCCTATACCTGTTCCTGTATGACTTGAGACATATTGAGCTTATTTACTACAGCACAGTTTGTAACAGCAAAAGATCAGACACCGAAATGTGCATATATAGAAAGATTATGCAGCTGTTAAAAAAAAAAAAATTGCATATGCTAATATGGAAAGACCTCCAGAATGTATTTTAAATGAGAAAAACAAGAGAAGTTTATAAGAATAAAGAGAAGTTAATAAGAATACATGACTGTATGTGAAATCTTGAAGCTATTCAAGCAATCCAAATAATCACCTACAGGGAGAAGATGAGGATTGGAATAGAGCAAATCAGCTTCATGTATGTGTGTGTCTGTGTGTGCACACACGTGAGCACATGCTTTTAATTTTTAATCTATGTAAATGTATTAGCTACTCAAACATAAGTTTTAAATAATAATACTTCAGACTTTGTAAGGATTAAATGAATTCGTAAATATCATCTAATGTAAAGTGCCTAACATAGTTCCTTACAGACAGTAGGTGTTGCTATATCCTGTTGCTAGTCTTTTAAAATATCATCCAAATGGTTTAACTAATTAATAGATAGATGAATAAATAAACAAATAAATTTCCAAACCCTTTGACTCAATATGTTCATCTCTAGTAATCTACCCTAATAAAAATCTCAAAATGGGGACAAAGATTTATGTATAAATAACAGTGAACTGTTCAAACAACCCAAAAACACAATAGAGGAATATTCAATAAACTATGGTACATCTATTTTTATAAAACATTTTTAATGACATAGAAAAATGCTCAAAATATACAACTTTACAGTTTCAAATGTGGGCAGATAGAAGGGGCAGGGGCGAGGGGCAGAGAGATATATGCAGAAATAAGAGACCTAAAGAAAGTACAACAAGTACGTTTTTATAGAGGGGTTATAGGTGATTTTTATTTTCTCTTTAATTCTTTTCTATATTTTTCAAAAGTTCCTCAATAAGCAGGTAATCCTGAAAAAAGGAAAGGAAAGGAAAAAAAGAAAGAAAATGGGTTTCAGGATCAGAGTTCAAATCCTATACTAGCTATGGGACTTTAGACAAATTACCTAAGCTCTTGAATCCTTCTCATCTGTAAAATGGAAATGCTATCTAGATTCTAAGATTGTTTTCAGGATTAGAAACATTATATATATAAATATATATATAAAAAACATAGTGAACACTCCATAAAAAGAGATTACTATTATTCTAACACATCTTACCTATTCAACATCTTTTCCCAGATACTTAAAATTATACCATAGTTCATCAATCTAATACTGATTTTAAGATGCAAGCAGGTTTTAGAAATGTTGAAATGTGAAAAATGTTCAGCTTAGACTTAAGAAATTAAATATATGTTTAGTGAACTAAATGCTACTTTCCACAGGTTATCGTTTCATTTAGCACAAATGGAGAGCAAATTATATTACAAGCAAATATTAAAAATAAAAGGATTATGATAGTGGGAACAGTTCTACTGGAATAACAATTCACTGAAAAGAATTGTAATGGACTCTAAATTAACTTAAGATAGATTTTTAAAAACTAATGCAATCCTCCTTTAAGAGTTATAAATATGATAAATAAAAAATGAAATAAAAACCAAGTAAGTTTTTAACAACTTTAATAAACATTTTGACTAAACTATATAAAAACCCCAACTGAAATTTAAATACAGTAAGCAAAACATGCTCTGTAGCATTTATATTTGAGTAATAAACTTACTCAACTTCACATTTGTCTCATTTTTTTTACCTGGGAGAGAGAATAGTACCAAGACAGAGGAAGATCAAACACTCTCAGCGCTGCTGTCTTCAAGGAAAACCGTGATTCGCTGACTGTTTCTTCTGACATGACTCGTCTTCTATCTTCATTAAATGAAACATGAAAACACATTAGCCACAAAGATTTCTGGCTAGTTTACCAAACTCAAGATACAAACTAAAACTTTAACTCTACCTGCTTTTTTTTTTTCTTTCAGTTAACTATTCATGATATCATACCTACCTGAAGGGAAATTAAAACATTTACTTGAGCATAACGTTTATTAATCACTAAAACAGCAAAAAAGAAAATGAGCTAGATTAAACTTTGAGTCCAGGTAGTAAATTTTCCTTAGAAAACTGCAAGTTCTAGATTTTTTCTTTTCTGGTTAAATAAAAGTTTATCAGCTTTTAAAAGGTAATTTAAAATCTACCTTCCTTCATAAACAGTGAGAGCAGGGAATCTGAAATCAGTAACTCATGGGACTTAAAAAAGGAACCTGAGAGCTCATTTAACTTCAGAATTCATGCATTTGTTCTCCTACTGTGCCATTTTAAAGATCTTCAAAGAAATGCTACACGCATGCTATGTAATTTTGATACTGCTTTAATGCCTGCTATTTCTGCATAGTGGTTAAGAACTGGGCTGCTAACCAGAAGGTCGGAAGTTCAAATCCACCAGCCGCTCCTTGGAAACCCTATGGGGCAGTTCTACTCTGTCCTATAGGGTCGCTATGAGTCACAATCGACTGGACGGCACACAACAACAATTTCTACTGAAAGGAGTCCCTGGGTGGTACAAACGGTTAAGTACTTGACTACTGGCTTAAGGTCTCGGAAGATAGACTTGGTGACTGCTTCTGAAAGATCACAGCCTCGAAAACCCTAGGAAGCTGTTCTATTTGCCATATGGGGTCGCCACGAGTCAAAATTGATTCTACAGCAACTAATAACAACAATTTCTACTGAAACCAAAGAGAGAAAAGTCAGTTATCTGCAGGAAGGCAGCTGTCACTCAAAGATAGGCTGTTAAGGCAGCAGAACCTTGACAGAAACATGATGGTTCAGAGTCTGTGTCTCTGCTTTGTAGAGCCAGAAACTCAATTTTATCATCACTGTACACAGCTGGACACATTAAATAAATTCACGTAATACCAATGTATAAAACCCATTGCTGTCAAGTCGATTCCGACAGAGTAGAATTTCCCCACAGGGTTTCCAAGCAGCAACCGGTGGATCTGAACTGCCACCCTTTGATTAGCAGCCAAGGTCTTAACCACTGCACCACCAGGACTCCACCAATGTATAAATCAGTTGATAAATGTACTGAGTTAATAAGTCAAAAAGGTTACCTGATGAACATGGAATTAAAGTGTCCTGAGGAATATTTCATCTAGGCTAAGGAAAAACGAGAACTCTCTCTGGTGCACAACAGAATTCAACCAAATTCAACATTTTTTTTTCCTTGAATAGTGCTGTATAAACATTACCAAATTCTTACAGGCTGAACTCTCTTTTTCTAGACTCCATGTAGACCATCTCCTTCTATTAACCCTCCCTTTTTTTCAGACAAGGATCAAAACCACTAATGAGGTAGAAGTTTTCTTTCAAATCAATCACACTGACAAATTAAAAAAAAAAAAAATGTTGCCATAGAGTCCACTCAGACTCATGGTGACCCCATGTGTGACAGAGTAGAAATGCTCCATAGTTTTCTTGGCCATAGTCTTTATGGAAGCAGATCACCTGCTGGCCTTTCTCCCCTGGTACCGCTGGGTGGTCTGAACCGCCAACCTTTAGGTTAGTGTTAAGTACCTTTGAGTTGATTCCAACTCATGGTAACCCCATGTGACGGAGGAGAACTGCCCCATTAGGTTTTCTAGGCTGTAATCTTTACAGGAAGGAGCCCTGGTGGCACAATGGTTAAGCGCTCAGCTGCTAACCATAAGGTCAGCTGTTCAAACCAACCAACAGCTCCATGAAAGAAAATTTCTGGCTATCTGCTCCCGTAAAGATTACAGCCTAGGAAACCCTATGGGGCAGCTGTACTCTGTCATATAGGGTCTGTATGGGTCGAAATCAACTCGATGGCACACAACAACATCTTTACAGGAGCAGATCACCAAGTCTTTCTCCTGTGGAGTCCCTGGGTGAGTCAGAACCACTAGTCTTTCAGTTGGCAAAGAATACTGAATATGCCATGGACTGTCAGATGAACCAACAAATCTGTCCTGGAAGCAGTACAGCCAGAACGCTCCTTAGAAGAAAGGATGGTGAGAATTCGCTCATGTACTTTGGACACGTTATCAGGAGGGACCATTCCCTGGAGAAAGATATCATGCTTGGTAAAGCAGAAGGTCAGCAAAAAAGGGGAAGACCCTCAATGAGATGGACTGATGCAGTGGCTGCAACAATGGGCTCAAACATAGCAACGATTGTGAGGATGGCCTGATGCAGTGGCTGCAACAATGGGCTCAAACATAGCAACGATTGTGAGGATGGCGCAGGACTAGGAAGTGTTTCATTCTGTTGTACATAGGGTCGCTATGAACCTGACAATAACAGTCAAGCCAAACCATTTACACCACCCAGGGACCACCTTTTATGATAAACTTTGGTTATTTCCCAAGTCACCTGAGTCACATTCTTAAAGCAATACCTCTTCAGGGTGTTAAGACTGACACTTATCTTACTCTTTTTATAATGATTCTTATTAGTGACACCCTCAGAGTGTAAACTTGAGCCCCACATGTTTAGTGCTAACTGAAGTACATTTATTCCAACCAACAAATCATGATATAAACATATTACTGAGAAATTAGAGGAAACCAAGAAGAAAGAGTCAAATGAGAGAATCACTCTGGGATCCTCTGGGAGTGAAACTAGGATTGCAGGGGGTGGCCAGGGAATGGCTGCTTTTCATTCTAAGTCCTTCTATTCTATTTGATTTTTAAAACTGTCTACATGTATTACTTTTTATATACGCTACACTAAAAGAAAAAAAATTACAATTATTCTTCTCCCTGCTCCTTGAAATTGACAACTTCTTTTTTGAGAAGCAGTTTTGCTTATTAGATTCTGGCTCATTAAGCCATCAACGCTACTGCATTAAGAAAATAATAATACTGAGAGCAATTTGCCCAAAGTAATTTTTTCCATAAAAAAGCCTTCCAATTTTTTAAGCAAAGAGAAAAAATTAAGTAAACAATTCCATTTGCTGCACTGCTTTTCTTAAATTTTGAGAAATCTCTATTTTTGCATTATAACTACCTTACTCCTTTCCATTTGAAATCACTGGGAAGTGACTCCAAACTTTAGACAAATTAAGGTTTAATTACATAACTTCAAATTAAAAAAATAAGTCATTTCAGTTGCTATCAGAAGTATTAAGTAAAATAAACATGGAGGTAATTTCATGATTACTCAAATTTGTAGATGGCATCAAAAACACTGTATTGTGTAATATTATTCTCTTCTCTCCATTCCAACCACTGGACAGTTAAAAACAAGTGTCACAAATAGTTTCCTTCCTAAATACCCTAAAAATTACACTCTACAACATCCAAAAACCACTCCCTGCTCAAAATCACTCCCATTCAGGCAGAAACTCGGACCACACCAGCTGCCTCACCTCCAGCAGCATCCACCTTCCACCGCGCTCTCCTTCGCCGGCTTTCCTTTTTCTTTTCCAAAGAGACCAAAAACGGAGTCCCTTCCCGCTTGGACCCTCACCTGGCTCGGAGTGGTCGCGACTTGGGGGCCGCGAGCCCGACCTAATCAGGGCTCCCCTTGTGTGCCTCCCTCCGGCGTAGGGGGGCCCTCCGCTCTCGGCTCTTCGACCCGATACCCCTGGTCCGTGAGGCTAAGGCCTGCGATTAGGGCCCGCGCCCCGCGAGTGTCGCTATCCCACCCGCCCTCCTCCATCTACGTACCTGGCGCTCCAGCCCAGACGTAGCTCGCCAGCGCCTGCAGCTCCGCCTCTGCAGGGTGATGAGTAGCAGCCTGGCACCTGGAGGAGGAGTCCTTCCGGGGTCAGGAGAGGGACGGTGGAGAGAAAGTAGCGGGGGCCTGCTGGCCTTTCTGCGTGAGGGGCTACGCGTGAAGCATTTCCCGCCATTTTTGTTTAGGGTAGAGGCTCCCGCCTTGCCAGATGGATTTAAAAATCCTAGATTTGAAGAATTTTTACAAAGCTGTCAAGAATTAGTATCTTAGGCTGCAACGTTCTGGGGAATCAAGGACCGTTCTGCGAATCTGATGAAAACTATGGAAACTTTTCCCAGAAAAATTCACATAGACATGCTTATACATTTTTTTTTAAGTACAATTTTCAGACCCTCGAAACCAATCCATGGATCCCAGATTGAGAATTTATGCCACAGACCCTAAGCCCTCAAACAAATGAATGGTAAGAGGCATTCCAATCCTTCACTGATGATGCAATTACTGATTTCAATCCCCCTTCAGCTTTTCTCCACGTTTGCCGGGAATCAGGCAGAGAATAGTAAATCTGGTCAATTATGACGGGTTATGTAGGGTATTCACTGCTCTGAGGTTCTGTATAATATGCAGCAAACTAATGGAGGGGGAGTAGCAAAGAGAAAAACGCCAATAAAAAGCAAGATGCTGTTTCTGTCTGCAGTCCTGAGCCAAAACATTCTCTCAGAACTGCAGATTTAAGAATTCCAGTTACTGAGCGTATCTGTGGTGAACAGCCAAAATAATTTTTTAAGGATGACTGAAACATGACAGCAAATGTTACTATTCCTATCTAACAAGAATGAACTATCGTTTCTTTTAGTTTTCAAAATTCCCATTCTGCCAAATGGAAAACAGGGGAAATGACAATACCAGTGTGTGACATTACTAGATGAATAATAACTGAAAGGGCACAGACTGAGTTCTACGTGAAAATATTATGCACTGATAAAGTAAACGGAGCTCTTGAGATTTGAAGAACCTGGAATTTGTTAGGCTAATTTTGTTTACTTCTCCAATCTCAGACCTGCTGTCTCCTCCCTATTTCTCACAACTTTCAAATATTGAGCCTAACGGGAAGAACAGTAATAATGATGACTACCACTTACATTGCTGATGTCAGATGGATCTTGGCTAAAAGCAGAGAACACCAGAAAGATG